CTCGCAATTCTATTCTGAAAGAGACAAAACACATAGCATTTTCATGGGAAATGTTAGAATAAGTCTATGACACTTGCCTGTGAACCTTTTTTGCGCCAAACACGTGTTCTGGATTGAGTTCATTCAATTGTTCATGCTTGAATTTTGATTTTTTTTTTCTTCAATCCATCAGGATATGAAGCCATTCAAAGTTGTTTCTGGTCGATGCAGGAAGCGCAAGTCAAAGTCTGCAAAGGTTGAAGTCAAGCAAGAGCTGGTGATTAAAGAAGAGCCCAATGATGGTGACGATGGCATGAATATACCACGGCCGACAGTTGATGGAAGATATCGTGTGAAATACGAAGGGCCGATTAACTTTGCCCGTGACTTCGATCAGATTAAAGATGAAATCAAATGTGAAGAAGAAAAGACGAGCAAAGGAAAGGACTCGGTACCATGTGAACGATCGAATGACAGCGACGCCAACTATGATGACAACGAAGACCCCATGGATGACGCAATCGATGTTCAACAACCGGAATCAGTTGGCAGCGGGAAGAAACGGAATGAAGGCGCCAAAAGACGAAACAAACGAACAATTCCCGGGAATCAAGCGACCAAAAAGCAAAAGAAGCACAAATGCCATGTGTGCAATCATGTGGCAGATTATAAGTCCCATCTCAAAGTACACTTGCGAATTCACACTGGAGAAAAGCCGTTTCAGTGTGATGTTTGTTCGAAGTCATTTGCACGAAGAGGTGATTTGAACAAGCATAAGAAAACTCATGGCCAAATCCGTTGTTCCAAATGTTATCAAGGATTTGGGCAAGAATCAGTCAAGATCGAACATGAACGGTTATGCAATCCATGCCAATTTGAATGCGACATTTGCGGATATCACACTGTGATGAAATCCACTTTGACAGTTCATATGCGGACTCACACAGGGGAGAAGCCGTTCGAGTGCTCAATTTGTTCGAAATCATTCACAACCAACACACAACTCCAAAGACATTCAATGACTCACAAAGACGAGCTGCCGAATGCTTGTTCGAAATGTGGTCGACGATTTGCAACACCAGACGATAAGCAAACACACGAAATGCGCTGCCAACGAGGTCTTTATGCATGCAATCGGTGTCATTACAGAACTGTTTACAAGACTAATTATAAGACACACTTGCAATCAAAACACGGAGCAAAACGATCGATCAAATGTGAAATTTGCAGCAAACAATTCGTTCAACAGATTTATTCAAATCAGCATTTGTCTTAGCACACAGTGACCAATTCCCATTCCAATGCTCCAAGTGCTTCGGAGGATACGCAACCGAAGATGCAAAAGAGGTTCATGAAGGTAGCTGTGGCCACCGTCAGTACCAATGCCATTTGTGCAAAGAGCATCGTCGAGACAAAGATGCTTTGAAAATTCACATGCGAAAGGATCACACCGGAGAGCGAATTCAATGCGAAGTGTGTGCAGCAAGCTTTGCCGATGGAAGTAATGCCAATCGACACATGAAGGCACTTCACCGTTTGAAGAAGAAATAAGTCACGCATCTCTTGGATTCATAAACGTAGCTAAGCATAAAACTAATAATAAACTTTCATTACACAAAACAATTCACCCATAGAAGACAATCACATCAAGCATTTGAATAGTTATAACGGACATGCTTCCGAATTTGAAATAACATTTAATATTTTACCACATAAAAAATTATATTTTTCGCTTTAGATTTAAGCTCCCTTTTGATTGAAACTGAACAGAACATGAATACATACTGAACCCGGAATAAAAAGAAAAAAGCGGCAAAAGAGGGTTGCGTTTAATTTCTGAGTTCATTTTTGCAGCGATTTTCTTCTCCAACGAAAGAAACAGATGGTTTTGGGAATATTTACTTTGGCCAACTCTGCATTCGAATCGGGTTTGTACATTTTTATTACAAAGATTTAGCTTCAAAATATATTGTTCATAATTCTCATTATTCAAATGCTCCATTTGAATTGATTTCTGATACTTGTCCATTTGCTCAATTCATTGCCGCCACTTCAAAAAGTGTCACACTTCCAACTCCAGATATTTTCGATTTCAAACAAAAACATGCTCTTCTCATGCACTCTTCTTCAATTCATGGATTGGATAA